AGCTCACAGCAACCTCCAACTCCTGGGCTCAAGCGAGTCTCCTGCCTCTGCCTCCCAAGTAGCTGAGACTACAGGCACCCGCCGCAACGCCCGGCCATTTTTTGGTTGCAGCCATCATTGTTGTTTGGCAGGCCCTGCTGGGGATTCCAACCCGCCACCTTAGGTGTATGTGGCTGGCGCCTTAGCTGCTTGAGCCACAGGTGCTGAGCCGAAAGTAAAGAATTTAAGATTGAATCACTGATTAAAAAGGAAGCCAGCAGTGTATAGTGTGTCTGCTAATAGTTTAAGCCCCTTTTTTCTTGTGATAGGCTACACAGGACTGGACAAAAAATATTCCAGCTTACTACAGTCTGAGGTCTATAAATGTGATGAATTACAGGTGTCAATTCACACGTATCTGTTTAATCATTGAAGTAGAATATTATAGCAGGATAAGACCTGAGCAAGGCCATTTATTTTACAAATGAGAAAACTGAAACCCAAAGAGGTTAAATGCTTTGCCTAGTAGAGTCACATTGCTAGTTGGTGATAAAGCTTGAAACCCTTTTGATTCATTTTTTTTTCTTTCCTAGGAAAGTGAATAAACTTAATTAAGAATGTCTGAAAACCTTGACAAGTCCAATGTAAACGAAGCAGGAAAATCAAAATCAAATGATTCTGAGCAAAGACCTGAAGATGCTGTGGAAGGTTCTGAGGAAGCTTTACAGAAAAAAATAAAGGCGGGCTCTCCCAGCCCCCAAAGAGTACAAAGACCTCACTGTAAGCAAATTTGACTTTGGTTAGAAGTCATATTATCATTGTTTTCAGATGTTATTTTTATTAGGCCTCTTTGTGCATGTGGCCCTGAGCTAGAGTCTCATAATATGATAACATTGCCAATAATTAGCATTTAAGAATAGTAGCAGTTTTTCATCTTGTAGCCTAGTTACTTGTGGGTTTTCAATTGCATGGGAAACTAAAATTTTAGAATAGTGTCTGGAATGCTCTTGTCTTTCTCCAGCCTCAGTAACATTCCAGTTCCTCTGAAGTGATCTGAGAAACTGGAGGGCGGAGTGCAAATTGCAGCTTTAATTAAAAGGATGTTTGAAAGTCTGAGGCCGATTCCAGCCAGGATTGTGCTTGTGCAAGTTAAAAAAAAAAAATACGAGTTCACCACTCTCTAACTTCACTGCCTCGGGGCTCCATTCCCACAAAGTTGTGGGATTCAGTTTGCTGAATATGTGTGGTACAGTCATTTTAGATCCCTGGCAGGGAGCAAGCCTGGCAGATGAAAGGGTGGCAGTTTATGCCCGTATTCCCAGTGGTTGCCTCTACTCATGTCTTTTATTAGGAATACTTAAGCTTTCTGAAGTGAGTCCAAAAATGAAAGTTTTAAGAAGGCATGTCATAGTCTAAGAATGTCAGTATTGATGTTATCTCTTTAAAGTATAGATGATCGGTAATTCTCCATATTTGGAAGAACAACATTTTGGAGTTTTGAGGTGTGTTTCTTCTAAAAAGATGAAACCCCTTCCTAGACAATTTACCAATCAATGTAGTATTCTTGTAGCAAACATTAGTGGACTCTATTTTATTGTGGTTCATTATCACCTGAATTTTGGTAAATAAGCTTCTAGGTCAGATTGAGTTTAGGGAAACATGCCGTTAATAGCCCAGTCTTCCTCTAGTTTAGAGATGTTAAAAAAAATAGTGCTGTCTGTCGTACATGTGTCATCCCATCTTTAAAATAAGGAAAATATAACTAAGGTGTTTGTAAGGATTAAGTGAATTCTTTTTTTTTTTTTTTTTGAGACGGAGCCTCAAGCTATCCCCCTGGGTAGAGTGCCATGGCATCACGCTCACAGCAACCTCCAACTCCTGGGCTCAAGCGAGTCTCCTGCCTCAGCCTCCCAAGTAGCTGGGACCACAGGCGCCCGCCACAACGCCTGGCCATTTTTTGGTTGCAGCCATCATTGTTGTTTGGCGGGCCCGGGCTGGGGATTCGAACCGGCCACCTTAGGTGTATGTGGCTGGCGCCTTAGCCGCTTGAGCCACAGGAGCCGAGCCAGGATTAAGTGAATTCTTATAAAGCACTTAGAACAGTGCTTGGCGTATAGATACATACATAAATGCTCAGTAAACATCAGTAATTGTTATTGTTAAAATGTGTTGCATTTGAAGATGCCACAGTTGATTGCTGTACTGTGTATATATATAGCTAATGTGAGAGTTTTACTGCTATGGTTTCTGATAAAAGATATCATTAGGTCTTCATTAGGTCTTCAGTCATTCTTTGATTAATGACCTTGCCTTTGACATCCTGTCAGTCAGATACATGACTCCAAATTAATGTCACAACCGTACTAGGCTACATTATATGAAATTGTGTGTAGTTATGCCCTTAAGGCAGAAGTGCTTTTCCTGGGAACTTGGATCAAGTTCTAGGGGATCCAGGAACAGCCAAAAAGGTACATCAACATTTGTGTGTATATACATTTTTTTAGGAAGAAGGTTCTAGGAGCTTTCATTAAATATTCTTGGAGGTACATACCAAAATAAGGTTCAAAATCAATGCTCTAGGCTTCCTTGCTATTTCTCCTTGTAGAAATCAGTAGGTACAGTACTATGAACTCAAAAGGTAAAGCTAAGACCCTCATTTGGGGACTAAGTAAGGAGGCATCATTGGACATATAAAGCATAAATCAGAATTAACAAAACATGAAATTATTTGCAGAAAATTTTCCCAAACCCTGTTGATGTATAACTACTAAGTTTAAAGTAACTCTAAAATCACATCCGGAATTCTACAAATTAAAATATAAATAACAAAAAGATAATATTTAGGCTCGGCGCCTGTAGCTCAGTGGCTAGGGCGCCAGCCACATACACCAGAGCTGAAGGGTTTGAATCCAGCCTGGACCTGCCAAATAGCAATGACAACTACAACCAAAAAAATAGCTGGGTGTTATGGCGGGCACCTGTAGTCCCAAATACTTGGGAGGCTGAGGCAAGAGAATTGCTTAAGCCTAAGAGTTGGAGGTTGCTGTGAGGTGTAAGGCAACCTAGTGAAACTCTGTCTCAAAAAAAAAAAAAAAAAAGATAACATTTATTCTTTTTTTTTTGGTAGAGACAGAGTCTCACTTTATCGTCTTCGGCAGAGTGCTGTGGCATCACACAGCTCATAGCAACCTCCAACTCCTGGGCTTAGGCGATTCTCTTACCTCAGCCTCCCAAGTAGTTGGGACTACAGGTGCCTGCCACAACCCCTAGCTATTTTTTGGTTGTAGTCGTCATTGTTTAGCAGGCCTAGGCCAGGCTCAAATCCGCCAGCCTCAGCCTCAGCCTCAGCCTCAGTGTATGTGGCTGGCACCATAACCGCAGAGCTATGCGTGCTGCCATAACATTTATTCTTATATATTACAACAGAGTAATATTTTTAGAGTATACTTGTTGTTGATAACTGATGCAGAATACTGAAAAAGAAAAAATGGCTGTCTTGTAAGAATTGGTTGACAATTAATCTGAGGTGGTGATTTGATTCTAAAAGATGATCTAATCTATGAAAAGATGTCCTTAGAGTAAGGATCAATCAGCTGTATCTTTTTTTTTTTTGAGACAGAGCCTCAAGCTGTCCCCCTGGGTAGAGTGCCATGGCAT